GTGTCAACTCCCGATTCCCCTCTCAAATCTCGACTTTTTCCCGCGAGAACTCCCTGTCTCCTCGCGAAAATTTCCCCTCGGATTTCTAGGGTTTGCTCAAAATCCCATAAAGTCCCAAATTTTGCTTCTAGGGTTTAGTTGATTCCGCATGCAATCGGGCGGTGGGTCCCATGGCCGGAATCCGGCGGCGCCGTCCTCCTCCTCTTCGTCGCCGTCTTCTTCCGCCGTTTCGAATCAGCTAGGGTTTGAATCGATGCATCAACATCAGCAGCAGCAACAGCAGCAGCAGCTTAATTTGAGAAATGTGAGTGAAGATTTCGCGCCAATTTTCGTTTTTGGTTTTGTCCTGTGTTGGTTATTGTTTGAATGGGGGATCTGAGGCGAAGGCGGCGGTTTTTTTTGGTTACTTTCCAAAATCGAAGGGCTTGGAGTTAGTTATCCTTTTTTACGCTGCTTTTATTTTGCTTTGTAATTCGCGAAATGGGTGTTTGTTGTTTTTCTGTTTCGCATTTTTTTTTCTTAATTAAAAAAATTAATGCTAGTTGACTGTAATTATTTTTGGTTGGTCCCTGAAAGTATCGAGTTGTTGTTTTCCTGTCTCTTTTGGTTTAGATTGGCAGTTACTGGAGATAATAAGTTTGATTTAATAAAAAAGGTTTTCTTGTTAAGATTCTGTAGTGGGTTTATAGTTTTGTGTGTGATCTGCTTTCTATTTAACTACAGCTTTATAATTTGTGTTGATTTCTGGTTTCCATTCAGTGACTATTCTTATCAATGTATGATCTTTTGTTCTTTAGTGTCATTAAAGTCTTAGGCTCTTTCTATATTTATGTCCATATAAGGCTCGATCTTTCCTTTGCTAAGAGCCTTGATATAGAGTGGGAGATGCCACTATTTTTGTGCTTGAAATCTGTTCTTGCTTTACTAGCCTAATTGGCTTTAAGGATTTGTACCATTTCATCTTTCCTTTTTACTGGTTTATGTAGACACTGTAGATTGACATGTTTGGATCCATGGTTTGTAGACCACTGGTTAGAAAAATTTGATGAAGGAAAAATGACTCTTGTGTCATAGTTTCATTATGCGAGTGGTTTTTTAAAGTTCATCTCTTTTCGTTGGCAATATCAGCAGCAACAAT